CGTAGAAAGCATAGAAATATAATTTAATTTAACCCAAAGATTACCGTCTCTTGCTCAAAAATCAAGAATAAAAGTCTTTATTTCTTGGACAATTACTCACGTTCGAAACTTGGTCCGCCATCTTGCTATGGATGTGACCACGTGCTAATGGTCGTGGGGCCATGGGAGCTAGTAATAAAATTATCGCGCGATAATATTATCTATCGCGCGATAAGTTGTTCTATCGCGCGATAATGTTGATTGCAAATTTTTTGAATGAGTGGACTTAGCAAAACTTATCGCGGGATAAAGTCATGAAAACTTTTGTGGGTGCATGGCCCTTGAAGCTACCGTACAAAAGTGACGCTGTACTTCTTGACGAAGCTTTTTCATCTTATCGTCGGGAACTGGGAATCATTCCGTTTAAAGATTTTAAGTCTGAGTAAATATGAATAACAATTATGGTGATTCCTCGGTATTACAGCTGCACCTCGTAACTGCGCGGCATAAAAAAATCATGTAATCAGACGATTAAGCACACGTGCATGCCGCCTCATGGTATTATTTCTGATATCATTTTTATACTATTTTTTTCTCAAGGTATTCTTTTTCATGGTATTATTTTTCAATAAATGGACCAGGCAAAGAGGTACGATGGTCGTTAGCTCTTGAATGAGCAACTTCCCCTTTACTTTTATTGCATAATTTGGGTGAACAAATTTATCTCCTTCAAATTGGAGGAATTGTAGAAAGAAATCATCGAAGGTAAAAGAAAAATAATTAAAAGTGTGCACTAAGCCCGTTACTCGAGGATGCAAATTATGGCCATAAAAGCAACGACTCGAGGCACGTTTTGAGCCGATGTCGTTTATAACTGCGTCATTTTTCTACAAATATATACATCAAATTGTTCCATACATTCGAGAATTTTTACCTATTTTTGCCTTGCTTCTAGCTACCAAAAAATCTACCGTGAACCGATGAAATGACACGCGTGACTAGTGCACGTACAGGCATCATAGTTGGTATGAATGGGGCAAGATTAGCCCATGGTATCTCTTGAACAAGCACGGTGACCCATCTATTTTATTGTATTTTCTAAACTGACATTGGAAGGAAACATTTAAGAACAGTTTTAAAATATTAATCGATAACTTTTTTTTCCTGAGGAATCACCATGAATACTACTGAAGATGATAAGATTAGTGAAAATGGGTCTGCTCTACGTACGTGTGCCTAGTGCAAATTGAAATTATTGTATTATTAGAAACTTACAAGCTTACAGCTTATACAGATTAGAAATTCCGAACAGAATTCTACAAATATTTAAGCAATAGCAAATACAATTTTGATATGAAATCAGTTTTAGGAAAGATGGGAACGGTAAAGATCGGAAAGATTTCACAAAACAAAATAGAGACAAACGAACGAAAAAATCTTGAGTACGAAAGGGAAAATAAATTATGCAGTGTTTTTAGTGGCTGAAAGGTGGATCCTCGCGCAAGAAATAAATTCGTAAAATCTGTTAACATGTACACTGCCCGTAGAGCGCTGACCGGGTGTTGATTAAAAGAAAATTTAAAGTTACGATGCACAAAGTACAAAAGGTCAAATATAAAGGTCAAATGTGAGCGCGTTTGATTGGAAGTCTGTTCTGCATCAATAACTTATAAAAGACTGGTTTACTTTCAGAAATAACCTTGCTTCGAGTCGGTTTTTGATAATGTTTTTTGAAAATGAATGAATTTTAACACGGTTGTTGGAAATGGGTTATAAAGAGAAGAGGGAAACACTCACACTTAAAATTCAGGACAAAAAATGAGGGTCCGGTCTTGGAGCTTCTCTATGTTACACGTGCACCTGTCGGAAATCGTGCGTAATATTGTGATTGATTCGCGCTTTCGAAGTGAAGCGTTAATATAGCTTTGAAGATTACAGATGTATGGTGACCCGTTTATTTTCGTACTAGTTGCCAGAGGAAGCAAGTCAAACCAAAAGCCTATTACAGATTTTTTAAATATAGAATAACATTTGAGAGTTCAACGAAATTTAACTTACAATTCGTAGGGCATTCCATACATCTTCTAGATCTTTACGTTATCTCTGGCTGACCGTTATTTTCAATATCAGATTCGTCGCGTCTTTAAATAAAAGGGGAGGGGGGGGTTGGTCTCCAGACTCCCTGGGACAACGCTCTGGCGCCAAAACTATTAAAAACTAAGTGCAAATCAGTGATCGTTAGTCGTTTGTTACCCTTAGCGTGATTTTCGCTTTCTTTCATCATAAACAATGTGACTTGAGAAAGTGTCAAATGACACACCCAAAACCAATGATTGACACTGATAAAAGATGTAGCAGAAAACGTGACAGCGAGGGGAGTTGTTGTTGATTTCGTTGTTAGCGTCGATTATTGATAATAAACGAGAAGAAATTGGGATTTATGTGTGTGTGTTGGTTCAATCTCGGAGGCAATTCCCAACACACCCTGGCAATTAATTAATCAAGGTATTTCACGAGGTCAGTATGCTTAGCTATAAAGCTAGTCTACAGGTACCCCACACACACAAAAAAAAAAAAAAAATTGAAAAAATGGAAAAAAATAAAAGCCTTTTGAAGGTGTATAAATTTAAGATAAATCGAGATTAAAAACTAACTAATATCACAACAGTAGTTATATAAATACATGTAGGTCCACACACTCAATTCAGTGGCTTGAAACAGCGGTGAGAAAATGATTATGCGTCACCTTGAGAGAGATGTGAAATGCGGCAATATACTGAAATATTGATCAAAAGTGGAGATCTTGTGAAGATACATTTCTCTGGCCACCAAATATGTACTTGTCATCAAGGGAGGGCGGAAATCTATTTTTAACGGGTTTTTGATGACGTGGAAAACTATTTCACTGTTCAAGAGCGAGGGAAAATTTACCGACTAAGTGATATTTAATCCATCGGGAAAAACGTAAAAACATATATGACGGTCATATACTTTATTTCATTCGTGCGACAAAATATTCCTTTCTACTGGTTTATGTTAGTCGAGCACTCAATTCTATCTCTCATGTATGACCTCCTTACATTTAAACTTAATTCGATTTACTTACAATCAGAATGTTTACTTTAAATAACAACTGTAATGGCTTATATTGTTACAGTAATATGGACTATTAACGTAAGCACTTAAGTTTAATTTCGCCTTTCAATATTATATGATAATATTCTTTTCCTGTTTAACTAAAACCTAAAAATAGATTCAGTTGAAGAAAACTAGAGATGTGCAACGGATATTGCTGAACTGAAACGACAACAAATTGCAATCTTTCTCTTACACATCGATAATCTAAAATTGAAACCTTTGGTAGCAAGTGATCAGAGAAAGGTTTAAAGATTGTTTATTTCAATGGAAATCCTCCTCATGCAATGTCAATAGAGTGAAATTGGATAACAAGAAAAATACATCTTTGTCAAATTTAGTACGCAACCACGTTATATTATTTACACTATCCTTTGACAAATATTGAGAGTAATATAGTAATAAGGAAAACTTGAATATAATTTCCTGCATATATTTACAGACAATTCACACGAACACTTTCATTATAAGCATGAGTTTGTTCACTAACATCTTCGAAAATTGAAAATCATTACGCGGCAAAACTGACTGATTTTTCCACTGCCTTTTGGTCAGTAATAAATCAAACATTTCCCTTGTAAAATGAATAATGTCTAATTTAAGAAATTAAAATGTAACTTTAAAAAAATAGCCAAGGCAATCTGTCTATGACTGTCACCTTCACGTATATATATTCACATATTCACTTTCAGCTTTTGGAACAAACAAAATAGATTTTAGATACGATTCTTTTTATTTTGGGGAGAGAAATTGTAATAAATTAAGTAATCTCCTTCCTATTCCTCTTGGTCTACGTTCTTTTTCTGCATGCAAGGTAGTCTGTAGATTTTGGGGCAGCAATCGACTTCTTGTGCGCGAAGTGGAGTATAACCCGATAAAGTCATCCATATTGTACCTCGCAGACCCAAATATGGAACAAGCAGCGCCACAATGATCATCACTAGAAAGTCAATGAGAGCAAAGTAGCGAAAATACGGATCCGTGCCAAATCTGCGAATCAAAATCCCGCCTATCAGTTGACCGAGGCCTCTGCCAAGACCGTAGTACAAGCCGTGCAAAATACCTTGCAGTGTAGCACCAACACGCGGAGGGGTGCCCACATAGGACGCCAGGGCACACCATACAGAAGCCGAGCACAGCCCACGGAGAAACTCAATCGGCAACACCAGCCAAGGATTCTCAATGGCGGAAAAGTAGTAAAACCTCAAAGCGTAAATCAGCAGCCCAAGTGTAAGCATCTTAATGTGACCGATGCTTTCGAGGAAGTATATGGAGCCGTAAAACATTGCAACGTTTGAGATACAATGCACTGCGACAAGTGCGCTGAATAGGGACGGCGAGGCCCCAAGCTCTACCAAGTGAACAAACAAGAAAGTCTCTGCTGATCCTAAGGCGAACCCAAGGAAAATAGCAATGATGGCGAAGATAAAGTACTCAATTTTTCCAAATATCTGCAGGCCTTTAAACAGAGCAATTTTCTCATTCACATACTTGTCTGAATCTTGAAAGTTGAAGCGGGTGGACACGAACAGAGCAACTGCCATTAGAATAGCATTCACGTAAAAGAAAGGTCGGTAAATGTCAAACACATCTTCTGGACAAATATCCACCTGTTTTTTATACTGCCCCTGTACAACACAGCCTGTTATGAAAGCTGATACTCCCCAGCCGAGTTCCCCCCACAATCGTTGCTCTCCGTAATACTGCGGACGGTTGTCCAAGTTTTGAAATGTAGCCACATCCGCAAGCGTGTTAGACGTGGCACCGAGAAGTTCACCAACTGTAGTAATTATCAAAATAACAAGAAACACTACTTTAGCATTCTTATAAATCTTAGGATCCATTTCGGTGTAAAGATCGAAAAGCCAGGCTTCTTGCCACATCTCAGTGTTTCCGAATGAAGTAATGTTACCTGCTTCTATGTGATTTTCTCTCGTGATGCCATGGAGATGACGAACGGTGTCGTTTGGGTGCGAAATGTTCAGTTTTTGGTGGACTTCGCTGAGGCAATCTATGCTCACAGGAGGAACCACAGCAACGAGGAGATTCATGACAATGTAACTGAATAGCGCGATTAGTAACACTGTTCTGACCTTGTTGTACTTGTCTGCGATGGTTCCCAGAATTGGCGCACTGACAAACAGGCAAAGAGGCTTCACCGCCAGTATAATGCCCACAAAATGAGCTGGCAGCAGAAGAGAATGCTTAAAATATAGTGATAAATACGGTATGAGGCTGCCAAGCGCGGCAAAATAAAAGAAATAAAAAACCTTATAGACGAGGAGGTTTTGGTTGATAGCAACAGCCGAGCGAATCATGTCTAACAAAGATGTCGCCTGGCTGTCTTGCTTGTTTTCCTGTGACTTGGGTTCAACTGCTTCCTCTTCGGGATGAAATAAATCCCCATAGTTTGATCCTTGTTCGTCGGTTTTCAGAAGCGCTCCTTTCTCAGACATGGTTTTGACCGTTAGTGAATTTATTCCCCTTGAACTCAAAGAACGTCAACCTTCCATACCGAAGCGCTGGCGTTTAAAGCTGTGGTTTAAATTCTAGTCTTGCTTGGGTAGCTAAGCTGAACAGATGTTCTTCGACTTTAACTCACACAAATTTGCATGAGCCAGAGAAAGCATCCAACCACCTTCAGTGCAGTCTGAGATATTGATGACACAATGGCACATTTCACATTTCTTTCCGCCGCACTTGAAATGATTGACAAGCATTGATTAGACACAGTTGAACGATTGTAATAATCAACGTTCTTTGTGCGTCAGTGTGCCATTGTTATCAATATATTTGCGCTCTTAGCGCTCTTAGGTGGTAGTAAAAAATCGAAAATATATCTAACCTCACAACTATCCGTTTTACGATCTCTAAGAAAAAGATATAATTTCCTCATCAAATTCCCAGGCAATCGTTGTTTACGCCACGAAATAGCAAACAAAATGTTCACTTAAATGGAAAAAGTCAAAAAAGCTTTCTTTTATTGCTATTGTGTTCCTGATGAGGCTTAAGAGCTACAACACCATTTGGAATATTAATAATTTTGCTATCGTGGGCTGCTTTGAATCTTTAATATATTTTCGCATAATGAAAATATAACCTAAACTCAATTTTTAACGAGAATTTACACGAACTCTAACCCAAATCAGCGCAAACAAATTTAGAATTCAAAAAGGAAGATCTACAAAAGCGTAGTTAAGCCTCAGAATTTGTTCAAAAATTGCACAAGTCCAAAAACCTGATTTTGCAATTCAAATGACGAAAAAGCATTAGTATTCAAGCATCCAATTTCTTTTTGTACAATTTATGGGAGGTGGGGTTACCAAACAAGTTTATCAACAAATTCAAAAATGTTTAGTCCAAATAGTGTATATAAGTTGCGGCGAAATACATAATTTACGGTTTTAGCTCTAAAATATTTATCACCAGGAAAAAACATCTGCTAACTTTGAACTAGTTCGTAGTTTGTGTAATCTAAACTACCTTCAGTCGAAAAATTGTTGCGATCGACAATGAAAACGCGGGCTTTGCTTTTATGCGGTATCTCTTTTGCGATCTTACTGAAATGGTATAAAAAAAAAAAAAAACGCCTCCATAGTAACACATGCATCGCCGTTCTCTTTCATCAATTTCTTTATGCTCGAATATATTTCAAAGATTAACTCATAGAATTGAAATCTGAGAAAACCTGAACAATTCTGAGAATAGTAAGGTCTCCTTAACCTAGCTTTCACCGTTGATGAGATCGATGTATCCATTCATAATTTACTTTTCTCATATGTAGCAATACAGATGAGCATGCAACGATCTAGACCAAGATGTGATGTGAGAACTGCAATCAATTCCCCATTCGCCAAAACTTACTACGAACAATTCTATCTGATAATAGCTTATGCTGTAAAGCAGGACATTTTTATATCAGATTTACGAAACTAGTCATGTAGCTTTCTTCAGATTAAAAAGGAACTTTTCAGTTCACTAGATGAGTCTTTCAAAGGACGCGTTGACTTGGCGGACTGGATATGAAACTAATCCGCAAGAAACAAGGCATACATTTCCTGACGGCAAACGAGGCAACAATGCACATTTTGAGAGAAAGTAAATAAGTTGAAATCAAATATTTATCAAGGAGTTTCACAACATTATCGTTTTGGTTCTCACGAAAACACTCTCACAAATAAAGAATCAAAAAAGAGTATTTTTTGGTAAATGAGATTACTCTTTCAAAGACTGAATGTGCAATAAAGCCTCTGCAACACTTCAGTTCACAACATCTTAAATTTTTTTTTCATAAGGTCGCTTTTGAAACAGTTAAAAGAAAAATTATCTCACTTTCACTGTAATTATCAAACCGAAAAACATCTCATGCACCCTTCTATCATCAGGTTGATGTACTACATGGAACACGAACCCTCAAAATTCTGCTCCCCTCTGACATGTAAAATCTTTTCACAATTTTCAAGCCTTGAAAAAAGATCAAATAATGTTCAAGAGCTGTTTAACTGGAGCAGAGGGTGACAAATAACCTTTTCTGACTTTGAAATGCCAGTTCCCTAAGGACGTACATTTCAGACTGTTGAGTCGGATCACCATATAAAAATGCAAAAGCTATTATTTCGGATGGATGTCCAACATTATTATATGGCTGTGTCTCACAAAGAATGGGAACTACCGAATTCACGAATTTGATTGGCTGAAATTAATGTTGATTACAAGGTACAAAGAATATAAAAAATTGGCATATAAGACACAGCCATATAATAAACATGTTATTAACCGAGGTAGGTCGGTCTGTATTGGAGAATCTTGACCTCGGTCAAGATACTCTCATACAGACCTCCCGCTCGGTTAATAAGAACTAAGTACAAGAGTCAATGCTTTCAATGATTGTACTAAAAGGTGAGAGTACTGTAATTCATTTGCATTTGGTATGGTGAGTTGTATTTTAAATGGATGAAATTTTATTGTATATTGCCAGTTCAAATAAATGTACAGAAAAAACGACATCATTTATTCAGATATTGCCCTTACATCAACAAAAAGCAATTAGTTCAATTTGTCAGCTCCACTTTTCCTTGTTACATCATCAAGTAACCGCCATAATTTCAGACAGTTGAATATTGTCAAGAATTTAAGTTCAAGGAACTAGCCTGTGTTCCCTTCATTTGCTCTTGGTTACCTTGTGTTCACTGTATTTGCTCTTAGTTACTCTCTGTGAAAAGGCAAATGTCCCAGCCTCTGCCAGATGGAATTTTTTTATACGACAAACTATTGGGCAGCACTGCATGAAATGAATTATAATAAAAACTTGTTTTAATCTGCTACGCTATTCATCTGACAGGAGCAGACTTTGTCAGTGTGTTTTTACAAGTAGGGTAGATAAGCTTCCTTATATACACACGGTAAATATGTCTATTTTCGACCTTTACGCATAGTGTGAAGCAAGCAAAGCAATTTTCAATACTGTGGAGTTCATTTTAAAAAAATTCAAGCAACACTTGTGTTTCTCTACGTTGAATGCTAACAACAGCATGCTAAATGATAAGCTGAATCATACACACATTTTGATTGGTTCTTACTTATACTGTAATGGACACGTAGATAAAGCCACTTTCTTAAATAGATAATAGGTACATTGTATGTTACTATGTTAATTACCTATACTAGTGCCTCGATATATATCTCTATAAATACGCTTAACCTCCTTTAAAACTGCAGCTACAGACAAGTCTGTTAAAGTTATAAATCAACATCCTTGCTGAAATAGCTGACAATGAATTGAATCCATGTGGAAAGAATGAACTAGTTTGATCACACCAAGTAATGAAAATTACACCTTAAAGGACAGAATTATGGTAATTTCATTGAGCTATTACATTTTACAAATTTTAAAGAGTGCTGGTGATGAATCCATCATGATTCTCCCCAATTTCAAGACACTATAAAATGAACCTACAAAAAAAGAATAGAAAACAGAGAGAAAATTAGCGGATTGAGAATCATGTAAATCAAATTTACTTGAATATGGGTTCGCTAACATATATTGTTTTGATTACTGCAAGGCAATTTGTGTACAAATTATTTCTTGTCACAGTAATAGATCAGTATTTTGGTTGTTATAAATTTGCTGATACTCTAGCACATATAGTTGTAGGTGATGTTACCCCCCTTGCACTATCACCACAAGTCCAGTCACCCTAGGTGGGTTCATCATCCCCAACTTGAAGCTGCATCCCCTGCAACGTTTGATCTAGGTTTAATTAACTAAAGGTTTTAAACATATTTTGAAGTAAAAATTTAAAACTTGGAGCTTCTACAGCCTAAGTATCAAAATATTCAGTCAATGATTGCAATTTTACAACTGCTCAGTAGTGTGGAAGAAATAAAAACCTTAGAAAAAAATAGTGATTGGGATTGCAAAGTTCCTACTAATTACAACTTGTAGGTTATTTGTACTAATAATTTTCCAATTACAGAACTTCAATAACTCTCTCCAAACTAAAAAAATTATGTCAAAATATGTTTGAAACCTTAAATAAAATTACACAAAACACAACCATACTTTAGGGTGATGCAACTTCCTCGGGGGTGACAGAACTTGTGGGCCACTTTACCTGTAACCACATACAGACACTCATTACACACTTGGGTAACATAACATGTTTGCAATAACTGATATCCTGCAAAACTTTAGATAATTTTCCAAGCTTCAGGTTTAAATTAAAAAACCCAGGATGTGGTTAAGGTTAGCAAAGGAGTTACTGTAACATTTAAGTTCAAATTGTCCCTGTAATTTAATAGCATGCTCCAAAGGTGTAATGGTCCATGATACTATGTGGATGGAAAACAATTTGTGCAGGTCATTGCTTTTGATGCAAAATTAATTGCAATGTTTACTGCACCTAAGTTGCAACTCTGTAATAATTATTGTAAAATCCCTTTCATGGGTTGATGTGAAAATAGTTTTTGGGACATGAAGCAAAAACTTGATCAAGAAGTTGTAAAACCAGAGGTGCTTTGTAATTCAGCATCCTAGCCAGTTTGGTGTCTGATTAGTGCAGCAATTTAATGAAATTTGGTGTCATGATATTAAAGGAGTGAGGATTATGTTTGTTTGCAACAGTCATTAACTGTGAAGGACTCAGGCCTTAAATAAGTTTGCCTTGAGCAATTCAACCACTGCCTATGGAAGAACAGTAACATCAAATCACTTCTCTTCCTCTGCATCCATCTATAATTTGCAGCACATTTTAGAGTTCATAATTATTAAATCATTTCATTTCATAGGACAAAACTCCACACCACTGCTTTGGAACAAATTAAAACTTGCTTGCTATACTATTGTCACAAATAAAACATAAGAGAGGCGATTTCCTTATGACATCAGCTGGGAAAGTAAAAAAAGAAATTGTAACCTCATGGATGTCCAAACAGAAACTTAACAGGAGAGCAACTGTGTAATACACCAAACAGCTGAGAGAAAGCTCACTCAGCCTGTGATGATTGGAATGTCCCACTAGCAGCTATTTAGAAAAAAAAAAAGCAGCCACAGGAAAGGATTATACTTCATGTGGAAGTGGTGCATGTAACATTTGACCTCATCACCTGACAAAGGCTAGTAGTATGAAAGCAGCACAAGCAAAACAACTCCATCATGAGACAAAGTGTAACATGATACAGATTCATCTTTCTACTTTTCCAGATCTTTTCAATCTTCATTGGCTTTCACTAAAGCATTCTCTTATCTCTAAAATTCCACTCATAAACATACAAGGCTCTTAGCAATTTAGCACCTTTGATATCCTACACCTCACAATTCATCACATCAATTTTGCTCTTCATCCAAACATCCTCCTTCTATCCTGCCTTTTAATTTAAAATTTCTATTCTGCCTTTTAATTTAAAATCATACAGGGCAAGATCCTTCTCTGTTGCAGCCCCATCAGTGTTTTGTGATATGGAAGCATTGCAGTTTACCAGTAACTGTTTTAAAAAATAAAAAGCCTTTTACAACATTTTTAACCGTCTTTATTTAGAATTTTTCAATACTGTATAGAACCTTTGAAAATAAGTATACTGGTGCTCAATTGTAATCTTTATTTTATCATTAATAAAGAAACTTGACCTATTCTGTAGCATCTGTTGAGCTACTACCATATTTACCTGTATATAATATGCACCCATGTATAATATGCACCCTCATTTTTGACCAAATTTTTCATAAAAAGTGTTTTCACAGTAAAAACATGTTAATTCTTCCTACAATATTTATTGAGATAACAATACTTACATTTCAAAAACGTAGGTAACTAATTACAAAAAGGTTAAAAAACAATAACAAACAGCCTTGCAAAAAAGAGTTTCTACATGTAAAAACCTTCAAAATCAGACTCCAAGTTTGACTAAGAAAGTTGGTTGGAATCAAGTTTGCTATTATTTATATCATCCTCAGTTGAATTGTAGACCATATCATCTTCAGAACCATCTACATTGTTCATAATGCCACATTTCAAAAAAGAATTCATGATCATTGCCACAGGAATATCACTCCATGCCTTTGCAATCCATGAACAAATCAGTTCCTCTGACCACTTCCTTATACGACCAGTTGGCATAAATTTGTGGGTTCTGTCAGCCATCCAATCCATCCATTGTTTTTTGACTCGATCTTTGAAGGGCCTTTTAAAAGAGACATCCAAAGGCTGCACAAGTGAGATTAAACCTCCACGAATTACGGCAAGGTTGGTGTTTTCTCGTTAAGGGATGCTTTCACTATATCAGTCAAGTGGGCCTTGAATGTGTCATAAACAAGCAGGCTATGTCTTCTCCCAAGACCTCCAGTTTGTGAATCCAGATTTTCATTTGGTCGGAATCCATCCAGCCTTTTTCCTGGGCTGACATGACAAATCCATGCTTATTGCTGATCTTCAGGAAGGTTTTCCTTTTGAAGATGACCATTGGTTTTATTTTCAAACCATCTCCATTGTAATACGATTTTTTTTTTCCTGTGGTGCGAATTTTTATGGTTTTCTTGCCTCTGTTGTTGATCATGTGATTCAGTGGCATGTCAAACATTAGCAGAGTTTCATCCATGTTAGCAATCCAGTGCAGAGGGTAACTGTGTTCTTTTTGGCAATTGATGATGAAGTGATGAAACTGTACAATCTCCTCATAATTGCCAGGAAGTTGTCGCATCAGAGTGGTCTTCTGTCAAAATGACAGGCCGTTCCTCTTCATAAATTACTGGCACCAGCGACTGCTGGCTTTAAACATTCCGACAGGAATGTCCTATCTCTCGTCTTCGGCTAACTCAAGTGCTTTTATTTGAACTAGGGAAGGAAGGATGGCTAAGCTGTTCTTTCTCTTCCCTGTAATCCATGCCAACAGATTGATCTCCATCTCTGGCCATGCAGCTTTCTTTCCACAGTTTGCACGTTTCAGCTGAGGCATCTTCTCTAAATCCTCTTTACTTCTTCACTACTACATGACATTGCTTTCTGACACACCAAATTCGCATTCAGCAATCCAGTTTCCATTTTGTTGAGCAAACTGGACAATTCTCAGCTTGTCAGAAACTGTGTAGCTATGACATTTCACAGTGGTAAGTTTCATTGCCATTTCGAATTTCTGATCCCCTGTACTACTGTAATACAGTATGATCATGCTGTTTATCTCATCAGCTGTTTCTTAAATACTCTACTAACTTTATTCATGGATCGAAATTGAAAATGACTTGTTTCATTGGTAGATTATTTAACTCA